GAATTTATAATTATTAACCTCAAAACAACAATTAGTATACTTAGTTTTCTTTCCACGCTAAAATGCCCTTCACTACAATTGTAGTGAAAGTGATTTGCAGTTATATATTGGCCAATATTTTATTTATTATTGGTTATCTAATATTTTTGTATGTTTATAAGTTGACTTTATAAATATGGGCGTGCAGCCAGTGCGTGCATGTATAAGTACACATTCGAAGCCCAAGAGAAGGTGCTTGGCGGCACAAGAATAATCAAGAGCATGCATTTTGGAGGACTTCTACGATAGTAGAGTCCACAAATTGTCATGAGGGTAGTAATTACCATTTGATTAACCAGTTCTTCGTTCTGCAAGATTGATTTTGCGTTCATTATTCTATATATCTCCTGCACCAGATTAGTGTTTCACTGCAGAAATCTTTTTCCTTTTTCATTGTGTCTACCACACTCATGTAGCCCCAGTTCCTGAAAAATTCTGGTGATTACGTTGGGAGAAAAGTATTTTTATCTCTAGCATCAGTTGTATTTAGCTATTTCAGTCATTTTGCGCGGGTGTGCCGGCGTTTACGTGTAACGAGATAGGAAGCAATGACACTTATAACTGAAAGTTTTTCGGAGTTTGTAATATTTTCACACCGCAGCTGCAAATTGCATCAGTCTGCAGTACGTTATCTCAGCGTGGACTTAAGAATGCATAGTAGGTATATCTCACATTGCCATTACTCATTAAGATAGAGCAAATTTCATTAAGAATGAAGCACATTTCGAATAATAACGTTACTGCATTTATGTACCTGTTGATTGTAGAAATGTGGCCACTGTCAAAGTGTACAGCTAAGATGACGGATGAGGTAGTGCAAATAGAGCGCATTATGCGGTACCCCTTGGCCTTGGTGATAAGACGTGTTTCAGCAGCCGAACCTTTTACTAATAAACATTAAACACGACTTATAATGTCTGCACAATACTTATTATTTATTCCTACTTTTTTGCTTGTTAATAAATATTTTGCAGTAAGCAAAGGGATTGCCACGTGTTTCAACGTGATTACTAATTTGTGTTTGGTATAACTGCCGTCATCTTCGCTCCCGCGGATAT